TATATATCATAATCGGTATTATGTAAATGACTAGACAAAATTGCCCTGGAAACGCACGACCGGTTTCGTGGTTCTTGCCGCTCGTCAGGCATCTAACCCACTTGCAAAACATCGAATCGTAGCATTGATTCTTCAATGGACTGACTCTGAAAGAACCGTCTATCCACTAGTCACCCGGTTATTGTGACGAAAAGACACTTCTTGGGTACAAGTATATGAATAAACTGACAAAAGATTCCCGGATACACCTGCCCGACGAGCGAAAAGAACCGCAAAACCGGTCGTGTGCTTCCAGGGTAATTTTGATCAGTCAATCATATACTACTTATTATGATATATATATATATGTATAATGATGTAGCATAGCATTTTTGTAGGTAGCCTTAGTGACTAGTAACTTGAACACTAAAGTAGGTTGTAACTGATGATAGAAGATTGCACTCTATGAGGCAAATATGGTATTGAGCTGGGCGACAGCATTTCGCAAAACTTTGCCATGTATTTGCATTCTTTTATTTGACCTTCTCTTGTCCGAATAGGTTGTTTTAATCCTTGCTGATTCGTTCGTTTATTCACTCAGATGGTCTGTGTCCCTCTGTGTGGTTTCTGGTGTGCTGCTTTCCATTCGCCTGCCGAGTCGTTACAAACCAGATTGAGACCGTTTTGCCCATCTCTATTTATGACTTGGCGCAATAACGTCATGAAGGTAAGTCGGCTGGACGGATTATTTCTCCCGCCTTTTTCTTGCTACTTACTCACATGCACATAAATGAACAAATGTTTTGTTTTGCAGCATCGCTCTAAACTTCTAAGGTGTTTTACGCACTCTCCATGCATTAAAATGGGCAAGCGATATCGTTGGCGTACCCGAAATCATCCGATTTTTCTCCAGGTGCCCATATAATACCAAAATTTAATACGTCGCTTAGGCAGCGATCAGTGAAGTTCACCTCACTGTATTTCGCTGTACGATGATGATGAAGCCGCTTAGGGCTTTCTGCAATATTTCTTTTACAATAAACTTTAATGGAAGTGGTGAAGTGGGCCAACCTTGATGAGTAACGCTGCTGGTTTCGAACAATTTTGCGTTGATCGCTGTAAAACTTTTGCCGACCTGAAATATGTGAGCAGATTAACCTGACTAGGTTATCGTACTTCTGAGAGATTACTTTGCGAAGAAGTAGACCGAATAAAGATCAACCGAGGCAAAATTTCCTTTTGGATGAGGGAACATTATCATGGTTAGCCGAGGGTGTCTGAAGTATCGTATTTGTATTTGCATAGACTTTTTCGAGAACAGAATGTTCGCATCTCAGTCAAAAATTTACACATCTCATCAATAGAAGGAAAATATTTAGCCTTTAAGGTTACTGAGAAATTTTGAGGAAGCGAGCTCTCGGTTTACAAGGATTCTGGCAAGATAGGAAACTGGGAAATTTCTGTAGAGACTAATGCGAGAGGGTAATAATCGATAAGAAGAACGTGTCGACGTATGAGAGCAGCATTTAGATAAATCGCCATGTAAAGGATGGTTGGGGTCAGCGAGGATTTTCTGGGCAAATGTTTCACATGCGAACAAGTGAAGTTCACACAGATTTTTAGATAGCTCATCAACGGGTATAAAAGACACACGACTGATGATTGACAAACCGCGACGAAGAATTTTGAAGTCTTTCTTTAGTGGACCAGCAAAAACCACCGGGGAACAATAAAGAAGAACGGGGAAAACACATTGATAAACAAAAAGTGAAATGACATTTTGCTTGGCATTGAACTGCCTAAGTCTTTGAAGCTGAAAAGATAATTTGCGAAGTTTCTGTACAGAGTTATAAATATGGGATGGGAGTTTATTTCAATATTACGATCCTTCTATACTAATAGCCAAAGCCGAGTCCGAGCTTACGGCACATTTTCATCTGAGTTCACCACAGGGTGATGTTCGTTAGGGTTGCCCTCTCTTTCCTTTTCTGTTTAACTTTGTTATCGATTCGATTATGGAAACAGCCATATCCTCGTGCGAGAATAGCGGCAACGATTTACTTTCAGGTGGCAAGTGGTTGCCACGACTAACGATGTTTGCCGAGGCAGGTAGTGGTTGGTAAAGAGCCAAGTGTGGTCCACCTAAGACCTGACACGAGGGTATAAAAATCCTAGCAACCAAGATAAGGCGTACAAATCACACGCTTATCTTCCTGGTCGCGGCAGTGGTCACCGGCTCGATTGAACATCAAGGTGTATTGGGCACCTTGGACGTTTGACCTCGTCCAAAGGGCGTATGATTCAGTGAACTGGACACCGGCCCCCAATGGACTGCGGACTCTGAGCTCCGTCCTGTTGTCTTGCAGGTCTGGCTCTCTAACCAAAGGCTTCAGGTGTGGACCCCGAGGCTATCCCCTTCCTCAACCAGGGCAACCGGGAAGTAACATGCCCACGCAACCTATGAACACATTCTTCAGATTTCTTTCTGTTCATATGTTTTCACATTTGCCAGTTCTCTGTAATTGTTTTCGTGTTGAAATGATAATAATAATGAAATCCCTAACCAGGGTGCTGGGTCACATAGGTCCCGTTAGACTCCCTGGCTGGGGACCTCGAGATGATCGTAACCGATAGTAATCGAAACATTAAATGATATGGCTGGGGGTCGTAAACATTGGCGTTAGTGCATTTTCTCCATTTCTTTGCAACCCTAGGCCATTGAAATTCTCCATTTTCTATTCATTTCTACTTTCAACCTTCCTGTCTTTCTCCTATTCATTCAAATAGGTCGCCAAAAGACAGCATCCAAAAAAGCGGGGCACGGAAGTGCATGGTTAAAAGTTGTACAAAGTGAACTGAACTGAACTGAAATACAAACTTATCGTTCTGTTAAGGGTTCGCCTGATATCACTTACGGAGTTTCAGTTGAAACCACCACCACCAGAATCACCTGGTTAGCACTGGACCGAAAGTACTGAAAGTACTCTTCTAAACGATAAAGGTACTGCACGTTATTGTGGATGACCTGTCCACTTTTATCGCCTACAGTTTCTCTGTCCGGGATCCACTAAACTCCGGTGTTGCGGTATTGAGGCTTTTCATGAACTGTTAATGCGAATTCTGTCTCTGTTTCAATCCGGTCGAGATATGTCGTTTCTTCTCCGTCAGGGCTACTGTTTGAGGTGTATTGGGAACTGTGGACGTTTGAACCCATTCGGAAGGTGTACGATCCGATGAACTGGACACCGGCTCTCAATGAACTGCGGTTTTCACACACCGCCCCGGGTTAGGCTTTGGCTAGCCGAAGGCTCCGGTTGCGGATTCCCCAAGAAAATTCACCTGCCTTGGCCTGGGCAACCTGACAGTATTCAGCCCACACGCAACTCATGGAACGTTTTTCTTTTTCATAAAGATACTTGTACCATGATTTGCTTGGCACACAGTCTGTCCTCAGACAAGTGTGTGAAAATATATATAAAATAAGGCTGCTGATTCCTGAGAGATGAAATGTCTCAAACGAGCTTCAGGCTCGGATCTCCACTGGACATTCTTTACTGAATGCACTGCACGTCTATTGAGAGCCCATTATCATATACTCAATCACTTTTCAAAGCTCCTAGCTCATACTCTAGCTGTTCCTGCTGGCGGGCATTAGCAGCTGGGTCAGAAAGGTGGTAATTTGTCAACCTGGTTTGCGACTTCTGGCAATGACCAGTGAGTGGAAGCATGAGGTGCATGGAACTGGTACGTGATCAGACCCAATGCAGCTGGTTTAATGGGAGCTGTCATTTTGTACCGAAACACGCTAACGGGAGGGTTAATGTAGTATGGTCGATTGGAACCAGCGTACTGGTTGAGTTGCAAAACCATGGTACCGTCCTTCGAGATCTGTGGCGGAAGTTGGTAGTGGTCAGGAATAGCTAATGGTCTGCCGTTGTCCGTTTGTTGGAAACGTAGAGTACACCACACTGGCTTGTGATTTGCCGACATTATCAACCTGCGCGTTAGTTGCCTACCAGCACAACTATTTCGGAGCGTTGACTCAGCCGAATTGATACTGTGAGTTTGTCGTATCGGGATTGTAGCAGGTCTGTGTATGCGCTGAAATGATGAATGTTGCTTTCGTTCCGGACATTAATCGAACCCCTGAAACTACTTCACACAACCGTTGTTTGGAGGAATTAATCCTTATCGTTCAGTAGAATTACACCCCGCGCTGATCTAGTTGATGAGCCTCACGTCTTCTGCTGAAGCGAGAAGGAAGACAATATATTCGGCTTATGTGATCAAGATCTTGTATTCGCGTTTCCGATACACCGCAGACACCAGTCGCTATTGGTTCTATTGCTCGAACAAGATAGCCCTACTGACCTATCTGCACAAGAGTTCTTACTTGGAAGGCTTCAAAACCTGCAATTCTTTCGTTGGTGTACCACATACTATACCATTTAACAAAGAGTTTGGGTGAGTAACAACCAAGTTGCATATCTTTCGATCTTAGAGTCAACCTCTTTCACTGGTAATCTATTTCATTGTATAATGAAAGAAATGATTCGAAAACTGCTATTAGTTATAATGATCGCGTTCTTCAAGTTACAATGAGTATCCATTCAATTCTTGATTTTTCCCCTTTCATCTTGATAGTTTTTAATTTCCCACTGTTTTCGTTTTTCGCCCAGTAGGATTGTTCCAAAGGGTTGTCGCGAACGAGTTTGTTCATTTACGTAATCTCTGTTCTCCCTGTTTTATTCCGTTGTATTTTCACAGAATGGGGGACCGACAGGCACCACTCCGCATAGTGGATGGTCTCGGGCCATTTTCGAAACTGACGACTGGGGTGCGTTCTTTTCTCGTAAGTTTGCACTTTCAATTTCGGTCGTACAGGTTCAGTTTTATTCACCCAAATACGCTTCTTATTCTTCCTCGCACTGCTGTTTATACAGGATTCCGTTTGGATGTGGTTCGTGCAATTTCGGCAGCTTCTTCCTGCTGGCCACAAGATTTTATGCAGCTATTGTCCTCTTGGATTGAGGCTCGAGTTGCAACACCCATCAGCCCCGCTGGTAAGTTTCCCTCCTTTCATTCAATTTCGTTCCATCAACTATCCTGTGTGCGTGTGGGAATTCTATAGACTCGTTCCAAATGAGGTGTTTTGTTGCATGAATGCCAATTTACCGATACCCTGACTGTTATTCGTAATGCACAGCTTTCCTCGACCGGGCACCGCCTTCTGGATTTATAACACTAGTAGATGGAACAGGTCTAGCACCCCTATCTAACAGTTACAAAATAGATCTATTTCACTAGCGGGGACGCATGTATCTCTCGGTCGCATCCAAATCTATCGAGCAGCATAAGAGCTTCTAGGGAACCACCAATAACCATTCACCAACACAGTATAGTTTTTAAGTTCGCATTAGGTTGTTTAACGAACAGGAGTACGCTGTCAAAACGGTCGGATGAACGTGTTTTGTTTTGGATTTCCATTGAATTTCATAACCTTAATGAAATCGGTTTACTCTCTCCAAAGAGCCAGCCGAATTAAAATAAGGTAACTGAAACATGGGCATATAAGCTCATAGGTTTTCAAACCCCAAGCCACCATCCACCCCAAGACACATTCTGGCGCTACAACTCAGCCAACTGGGATGGTTTCCGTAATTTCCTACCTGCTCATCTCTGGAACGATTGCTGTTTCTCTTCGGATGTTTCCGAATCTGTTTCTAACTTCACCGACATTGTTCTTCAAGATATGAATATTTTTATTCCGCATTTTTCCAAACCCGGCAAACCCAAATCCCCTGAGTTGTATAACCATGCATGTGACCGTGCTGTACGCCTAAAGCGTTCAGCCTTCCGC